ATCTGACTTCCTTAACAAGACTCCTAAAGCGCAAGAAGTAAAATCAAGAATCAATAAATAGGATGGATTCTAATAAAAACTTGCCTTCTTAAAAAATAATAAATAAAATATTCTTTATCAAGTTCCAACTTATTTTTTTCATATGCTCATCAATGGAAGTTTAAAAAAAATCTAGATGAAATTAGAAAAAAATTATTCAGGAAGTCAAAGAAAATTATTTATCTCGTGATTTTTCCAGGTATAATTACATAACATTTAAAATGCATCATGACATATTAGAATAATTGTATATACCCAAAATTGAAGTGGGGAAAAGACTAGCTTGGATCTGGACTGTTCCCTAAAGTCTTATGTATTCCCTGGGCAGCGATGCTGCAGGGCAGTGATTGGATCATGAGGGCTCTGACCTCCTCAGTGGATTAATCCATCAATGGCTGAATCAACTACTGGGAGATGGGACCGACTTAGAGTAGAGAGGTCACTGGGGCAAGCCCTGGAAGGGTTTATCTATCTTCCTCTCCCTCCCACCCCCGCTCTCTTTCTCAACTGCCGTAAGCTGAGCAGTTTCCTCCACCACACTTTTCTGCCAGGATACTTTGCCTCAGCTCAGTCCCCCAAGATGGACTGAGACCTCTGAAACTCGGAGCAAAAATAAGTATGTCTGCCTCCAAGTTGGTATTTTGATCACATTGATGAAAACTGACCAACATAGGATGAAGAAAATACTATCTCCAAAGACACAAGAATGACATCCGTTTTCTCATGCCACATGGAGTGGGAAAGAACAAGCAAGATGGTGGAACTTGCATCAAGTCACATCCCTGAGTGACTATGTGGAGCAGTGTCCTCCTCCTTGTTAGCCAGCACTGAACATAAAGAGTGTGAATAACAAATAAAAGTTTGCTGTGTTAAGTCCCTGAGATTTTTCAGTTAATTTTAACATAGCCTCACTGAACCTAACAGAGCTCTTGGTGCCTCATTAACTATTAACAAAAATCTTTCCTAAACTTATTTAAGTTCTGTTTCAATTTTTTCTCTATAAACCAACATGTACCCAAGGTAGTTAGTTCCCTGCTTTAATACTTTATTTGGGAGGTGATTTTATTAGAAAAGACATTGCTATCTCCACTGAGCATGAGAAATTAAATGAAAATGTCCAACAAGTAATTTTGCGCTCTCAAAATCTTGTCCTTCTTCTGTCCCTTTTCCTCACTGTCCACAAAAATAAGTGCAGAAATTGTTCTATTTATGTGTGGATATAACCTCAAAAAATTTTTGAGATTCTCATCTAATACCTCTTCATTCTTAGAATCAGGTTCTACCCCTTATAAAGCTATATCCATATTTTTGAACCAAAGCATGAGAAAGAATGAATTTGTTAACTAAAAAAGTCATAACTCAAAGTTTATCCTGCCTCCAGATAATTTGAGAAGCCTGCAGACTGTTTTCCAGCAATGTTCTCTATAGAAGTATGCCTTCAGCTGGACACGTCTTGCTTTGTTGACCCAGATGTCCCCATTCCTCCTCACATTGTCACATTCTGTGAACAAAATTATGTGCCTTCCAGAAGAAAACATATGTGGTCATCTATTCCTTTACTGCCAGCTCACAGCATTTTAACATGGAGTGTATTTTAAAATGAGCCAAGAAATCCTTGGAGTCTAAGTCATTTCCCTATTAGAGGTAGGAGACTTGGCCTCACAGACCTTTGCAGGAGCCAAAGCTCATTGACACCCTGAGTCCCTTGGCAACACAAGTCATAACTAAGCAGGTCTTACAACACAACTTTATAGACACAGCAAGGGGGAAAAAACGAACAAGAAAACATAACCTTGTATTCAAAATGCACTCCCATAAAACTCCGTAGTACTCACTGGCCAGCAGGGATATGTCAAAATAATTTGACAAGCATTCCATACTTAAGAATTCTGTGAAGAACTCAAAATAATCATGGGGCCAGAATTTTAAGCACATAGGCATGAGAACTAAATATGCACCGTTTGCTCTCACTACATAGACTTAGACTGAGAGCAGCACCGTCCTTCACGGTTGCTTAATGACATGGTAAGACAAAAACTGTTGATATGCTTTTGTATCAAACTGGAGGATATTTTACCATCCTGGTAGCTCCCTCCAGACTTTCTCTTAGGTAAACAGATGGCCTTACTAAACACACACACAAACACCTCGTGACAAGCCCCTTTGCTGCAAGACCTGGGGTCTAGAGATGTTTAAATGTGTGCAGAATGTCCTGGGTGAAGCAATGGGAGGCAGACGGGACCAGGAGCCCTGGAAACGAGGACAGCAAAATGATGGAAGGAGAGAGACCTGCTGTGCTGGTTTAAGTGGAAAACCCAGAAAAGTCTGAGCTTTGTGCAGGCTGACTTCAGGTGGAACCCAGCCAGCACCAAGGGACACCTCAAGAAGTAAGTAGGAAATGCCCAGAGTCATTGCAGATGCACGCCACTCTTACAGGCCAGAAACTTCAGGAACCTGGTCCAGTGTACACAAGCCTGCAAAAGACACCAGTGCCCCAGCTGAGAATGATATTCACCGCCATCATCAGTAGCATTTGTTAAGTACCTAATTATGTACATGGTTCTAACAACTTTATTTGTATTAACTCACTAAATCCTTGCACCTGCTTTAGAAGGTACTATGACCATCTCCACTGAACAAGTGAAGAAAATCACTCACCTAAAGGTCAGATAATGTGCTCCAGAACACACAGCCAGTAAGCGTATCAAAGACGGGTTCAAACCCAAGCCCTCTGGATTTAAAGTTTGCCTTCTTCACCGTCATGCTACGTCTTTGACTGTTTCCAAGGTAAAGATTTCTATAATTAACAAAATTAAATGATCTGATTTTGTCATTGGTGATAGAGGCAGGTATCATCTCATGTGAGTGTCGTTTTGCTTTACAAAAGACTACATAGTTCATCTACCTCAGTCCTGCAATCAATGCAGAGTTCCCTTGTAACACTTTTTTTTTTTTAACAAGTGAGGCTCATACAAGAGACCTTTTGTGATGGGGAAGCCCCTGATCTGAATTTTACTCAAAAAAGTCCTTGAAAACTTTTGAAGATGGCAACCCCACCCCCAGCCCGTCACCAGTTTTGTCAATACTTTAGAGGACCAGTTTTGTGAACTATCAATGAAAAGCGTAAGTATGAAAAGCATCACTTAAAATTACACAACAAAACATCAGACTACATGGCAATATATGAAGTATTCTTCACCAAAGAAACCAAAGTGGAAATCTTATTGACTGTTTCATTAAACAATTTGTCTTTTCTGTACACATGTTGAGACAATAAGATTTATATATTTGAAGACAACTGAGTAACAAAGGTATGTACCAAAACTCATCTTTGTGTCAATGAGTTAGACAAGCAGGATAATAGGTTTCAATAACTACAGAAGGAAAAAGAGAGCAACAGTCACCCAAATGCAAGATGGTGGCTAATGATGGGTCATGAGTAGCAATGTTTCAAGACTGCATTAACACAACTCCAAGTGGTGCAAACCGCATACTGTGGAAAATAGTGACTATGATCATTACTGTCCAGCTCACAGAAAAATAATAGCATTTAAATTAATAGACTAATATTTTCTGAACAATTACCAGAATTTTAATTATATCCATGGGGTCACTAAAGGAGGTGCTCTTGATAGATAGCTGTTTTAAAACAATGCTTTCTTTTGCATTCCTCAGCAAGATTAGAATTGTGTTCCATCTTTCAAAAAGAATTCAACCAAAGAAGAGATGGACATTCCAGACAGGGGGTAAGACATTTTAAAGTCATTTTATGAATACACAATTAAAGGAATTATGAGAAGAATTGCACAAGAGTTCACAGAGCTCCAGTCTTGCCTAGATTGTGAAATATGAACTTGAAAGGCAGGAATATCTTAAGATTATTTAATTTCCACCATTTGACCCAGTTATCCCACTCCTTGGTTTATGCCCAAAGGATTTAAAATCAGCATACTGCAGTGACACAGCCACATCAATGATTGCAGTAGCTCAATTCACCATAGTCAAACTATGAAACCAACCTAAGTGCCCTTCAACAGAAGAATGGATAAAGAAAATGTGTTATATATACTCAATGGAATATTACTCAGCCTTAAAGAAGAATGAACTATGCATTTACTGGTAAATGGATGGAGCTGGAGAATGTCATGCTAAGCAAAATAAGCCTGTCCCAAAGAACCAAAGGCCAAATGCTTTCTCTGATATGTGGATGCTAATACACAATTAGGGTGGGGGGCTAGGGAAGAATAGAGGTACTTTGATTTAGACAGGAGAAAAGTGAAGGGAGGGGAGGGGTATGGGAGTAGGAAGAAATGAATTGGACATTATGCATATATGATTACATGACCAGTGTAACTCCACATCATGTACAACCAGAAAAATGAGAAATTATACTTCATTTATGTATGCTGCATCAAAGTGCATTCAGCTGTCATGTATAAGTAATTAGAACAAATTTTTTAAATCTATTTTAAAAAGGTTGTTCAATCTTATATTGTAACCATTGAATATAAATATTTTATTTTTATTACTAATAAACTTAAATCAGTAAAATGCCTCATTTCTACAGCATTTGATTAACATTTGGGCATCTAAACACACTACTGCTTATGAAACAAGAGTCCTCACATATGGTACTCTAACAGTTATTATGCTCCTCAACCTAAAGGGAGCATAAGAAAATCAATCCATAAATACATAAATTGCCTTACTACACAATTCTCCCACTGAAAAATCACCACAATCAAGAATCCATTTTCAAGGGAAATTCAGAGAACAAAATACAGTTGTTAATTTATCAATACTGTTAACTTCCTTCTGCATAGATCCTGGCCCAGGGATAAACATACTCAGGCAATTCTAATTTGGTTCATAAATGAAAAGAACAAAATGGAGCTCAAGGTTTTCGGGTTATAAATGTCACTAAAAGAAAGACTAGTTTCAAAGACTTTTCAATTACATACCAAAAAGTCATGGACTTCCTAGGTCCAGTTCCTATGAACCTCCTAGGTCCACTTCTGCTGTCTCTGATCTACGTAAGAAAAAGACAACAAAAGTTTTCATGAGATTTCAGCCTGGACTCTGATTGAGTCCAGACTGAAAACCATAATTTTGCCACATCAACCCCAAGAACAGGCAACAAAATAGTACATTTATCAAAGTGGTGACTACCCTGTGTCTCTCCCATGGGATGAGATAGAAAGTTCCATCCCAGGGAAGAAGATGTAAGTACTAAATTATCAGGAAACAAAACTGAACGCTTTCTGAAAGATAAAGTGAAAATTATGTTCCAATTTTGTACACACCCCCAGATGCATTTTTTATTTTACTTTAAAAGATGCACACATGAATTTAGAGTTCCCATGTGTTTTCCTAGAATTTTGCCAGTGGAAAAATATTTCAAATTAGTACTAATAATCCCACGTTTTACCTAGCCACATATTTTAGACATACAGATTCTTCTTTTTATAAACCTGTACATTTGTATATCATGGTTTAAAAAGTGTGGGAAAGGACATATTTAAAGATCTGTGTTTAATAACTCAACTGGTTTGAGTATTTGGTTTAACTTTTTAAATTTCTCCCCAATTTTTTATTATGAAAATGTTCAAAACTACAAAAGGAAAAATCTTGTAGAAATAGTTAACAATGAACACCTAGATAGTCTCACCTAGATTCTCAAAATCATTAATGTTTTACCACATTTGCTTTATCACTCTTTGTGTGTATGTGTGTGTGTATGTATGTGTGTGTGTGTGTGTATAGCTGGACCATTTGAGATTGTGAATATAAAGATCCCTCCCTTCCTAAGAAAAATTGTCCTATCATAGTTATACAATAATGATCACAATCAGAAATTTTTATGTATTTATTTATTCATTTTGGTACCAGGAGTTGAGCACAGAAGCACTCTACAAGTGAGTTACATCCCCAGATGGTTTTATGTTTTATTTGGGATACTAAGTTGCCAAGGCTAACCTTGAACTTGCCTAAGCCTTCCAAGCTGCTGGGATTGCAGACATGTACCACCATGCTCTGCATAATCAAAAAAAAATTTTAAATCAATTTTAAAATTTTAAAACAATTACCTCAGATATACAGTGCAAATTTCCCTAATAGTCTCAGTAAGGTAAATTTTGGTCTGGAATATTTATTATATTTTACTTTAAATCCAGGATCCAATCAAGTAGCATCAATTTTACATAGAGTCTTCCTTTGGTATTCATGGGGGATTGGTTCTAGGACCCCCAAGAATGCCAAAATTCATGATACTCAAGGCCCTTATTATAAAATGGTGTAGTGTTTGCATATGACGTCCTCCATAGCTTTAAATCATCTGTTGGTATTATACTCACTACAACATGAATGCTATATAAATAGGTCTTATACTACTTTGTTTAGGGAACATGACAAGAAAAAAATGTTTGTACATGTCCAGTACAGAACACTGTTTTCTGAATATTTTTGATCCCAGGTTGTGGAACATATGGCTGCAGAGAGTCAACTGTGTTTTGATGTGTCTATTGTTTCTTGTTGTCTTTGGCAATAGACATCTTTTAGAGTCAAGACTGGTTGCTTTGCACAATGTCCCTCATTCTGGGTGTGTCCAGTTTTTCCCTCACAATTAGAACTAGAGTAACATTTTGGGCAAAGGTACCCACATGTTGAAATGCTTCCCTTTCCTTCATACATTTTAAAAAAACACATAATGTATTCTATTAATATTTCATTTCAATCACTAAATAACTAAATAGAAATAGCATTCTATGAAATAAATTTAGTCACAGTTTGCAATTTATAAAATGCTTTTAATATGAATGAATATATTTAATTTCTACTACCATCCAATGAAGTAGGTAGTTTTTAAATTATCCTTCCTTTTTTAATAGAAATATATACAAATTCATATAACGAGCAGGTTTATTTCTGTGCCCAATATTTAGGTATAGAAACCCTGTGAATATCATGCTATAGTAAGAAGCCTTCTATTTTAATGCTAAATAAATTTAGATCTTTTTTCTCTTTGGCAACCTGTACACCTCATTGTCCAGATTTTGTGAACTTAACCATTCTTATTTTGTTGTGTTAAATTACAAGATGATATTATGCTCTATCTAAATATTTTCCAACTATAATAATTTGAAATTACAATAGTTAAACCAGAAACAATGCAAAAGTAAATAAAGTGTTAGCTGCATCAAATGTCAGGTAATTGGCTTTTTCTTTGTGTTTGTCTTTGTACCTGGTGTAACTAACAATACCCCAGCTCTCCCTTTTTCCCCAAAAAAAGATCTTACATCATCATTTCTTCCTACTTCCCAACAACCTTTTCCAATCCTAATGTTGTTTAGTTTAAGGTCAAGTCAAGGAAAATTTGGGAATCTGTGTTTGTAACTTGAGACACAGCCAATAATATGAATCTCTAAGTAGACATTGCAGCTACAAAGACACAAACAGATCTCCTCGTCCTATAGGACTAGATTCTAAGAGAGTAAAAGCCAGACAACATTTGCAGTAATATTGAAATTTAAAAAGCAATACCACCCAGTCCAGGGAAGGATACTGCAGATGCTTATCTGGGTAGGATTAGACTCAGATTTACTATCTAAATCACTTTGAGTTTGGAAAGATCTTAAAGAAAATAGCATGCAATTTTCCACTGATAAAATCCACTTTACCACGTCCGGAAAGCCTCAAATGAGATGACAGATCAAGATCCATTTACTCTTCCATCCGTGCACAATTTTCTTAACACTCAGTGATTTCAATAGCTCATTTTGGAATGAAAGAGAAATTTAAAAGCCCCGAGCAATGAATGTGACATTACTGTCCTGTCCAGTATCCAATTTCATAGAGAAGCAGGAACAGGATCCTGAAAAACACCCAGAGAAGGAACTGAACTCTCTTTTCAATGTTCACAGAGTTCTTCAAGTATAACATTATTTTCTTTTGAATTGGCATATTATGCACCCCCTTAAAGGAAAGATCTATTCTTTAATCCTAGAAAAAGTATTATTCTCATCTTTCATCTGATTTAGGTTATAGGTTAAATGCAGCAAAGGACGCCCCATCCATGATGATGATGCCCTAAATATTATAAACCATGGAAAGGCAGGGTGGTAGGAAGCACTTCAACTGTGAAGTCTTCAACAGAACATGCATCATTCTTCTCCCCACTAATCCTCAACAGACTCCTATTATCTTCAAATAACAATAAGAGGAGCTGCCTGCAGTTAATTTAATCACTGTAATTTCCTAAGAAATAAAGACTGATGTCTCTTGGAAATTATTCCAATTATATCTTGGAACATGAGTTCAAAACTGCTAAAATTACCACTTTCAATAATCTATTAACCTCCCCAAGGGTTATTAGTTAGTCTCACAATCTTCCTAAGGCAAAGAGTGATATAAGTGCCCACTTTTTTTTATTCAATAAAAATTAAACTTTGTGACACAATTAATTTTCAAACTCTGCTCAAGTTCAACCCACTGCAGGTTTAAACTAACCCTTTTAAAATACATCCTGAAGAGCAATTTCTCCGCTAAGAAACAAAATAGATCCAAATGCATTTAATCATACCACATAAACCCGAACTGTGTAATCACCCGAAAATAAGTAGAAGATAAGTTGATGGGGAAGGAAACTCACAAAAGCATCAGTGATAAGAGGTAACAGCAGAAATGGATTTGCTCTGGTTGAAATTTAATCTGTGCTCAGTCCTGGACATGTATTATTCATCTCATTTTCACAAGAGCTATGTGAAATTGCTGTCATTACTGCCATCTTACAGTGTGTAGCACATGCAGTCGCTGCTGCTCTGACGACCCTGTGTGCCTTTGGACAGGTGCCACTCCACTGCTCACAGGTGGCTGCCTGTGCTGCCCCATCCTCCCCCAGACAGCCCCCAGCAAGCACCTCTTTCTGATTATTACTTGGAAGAGGACTTTCCACAGTGACACACACTTTCCTTTGAGCATAGCTTGAGGAACAGAAAGCAGAGAAGCGTCTGGGTCGCTGGCCTCTGCACCAGGAGCCCTGCCTGCTCCCACACGACAAGACTTCTTTGCTCATGTTGGCTTTGACTGGGGGCCTGGGCTCTCCCCTCAGCCCAGCCTCTTGGGGAACCTTCAATCCATCTGTCATGTCTGTGCATGTCTAAACCACAACTGCAGCAAAATTTTCCCCTTGTCCAGGGCTCCTGGGCCCAGACAACACACCTGTCATGCCTCAGAGCCCTTGAACTTTCTGATGGTGTCTAGCATTTCACCAACCTCTCTGTGTCAGCCCAGAGGCGGCCCTGCCCATGCACACAGACGTTTAGAAGTTGGTTGGCTATAGCCTGACCTAGACTCTCTTTCTTGACACAAAGTAATAGGTCCCAAATATCAGCTGTAGGAGCCAAAACTGATGACTCTCCAACTATTCAGTGTTTTGAGTTTAAGATGCTGTGATACAGTTGATGAGGATACAGCAAAGCACAGGGGGAAGGAAAGAACAGAAGAAAAGGGAGACAAAGGGCAAGGAGCCCTCTCCAGTGAGAGAGCTCAACCCCGTCATTGTGAGCTTTGAGCAGGCAGGGCAGACATGAAGAGGGGACCAGAGGAGGGCAACTGCCGTAAGAACATGGAAACCAGACGGGAGAGTGCTGGAAATAAAACTCACTTCTCAACTTTGCCTTTCCCTCTGTTTCTCTCTCCCATCTTGGAAGCCCCTTGGCCAGCCCCAAAGCTCCAGCACACTCACTGTATAATCTCCAAGGGGAGAGATTCTTAGTATCAACCACCCACAGCCAGGAAAAGCTTCCCCTCTGTACTGCTCCATGACCAAAATACAGTGTGTGGCACATGCAGTGCTGTCAACAGGGCATCCCAGGTTCAAAGCCAGCCTCAGCAACTTAGCGAGGCCCTAAGCAACTTACTGAGACCCTATCTCAAAATAAAAAATAAAACAGGCCGGGGATGTAGCTCAGTGGTTAAATGCCCCTGGGTTCCTGGGTTCAATCCAAGGTTCAAAAAAAAAAAAAAAATGCT